CTCTCCCCTGAAAATAATGTCTGTTAAAGAATGGTTCTTTTGAAGTTGGATATCAAACTACAGTCAGTAGGTTGTAAGTAACAAAAGTTTTGCTTTTCTCATAACCATATCTGCTAAAGATGCTTTAACAGAATCTAAATCATGTTAAGAACTAGAAAGCCAACTCCTCGCCAAAATAGCAGGTAGATCAAATCCAAATATAAAAGAAAGGCATTACCATTACCCCCAATGTTTCAAGCAGCTAGTGATGTAAAACTTGCCAAGTAATCAGTTTAAATGAACTCTTCCCAAACCTGACCAAACATCTTCTCTCTTTATTAGTCATTGCCATATGAAAGGAAACCTAACCGAGCACTAAACCTACAACACCATCATATTATATTATACATTACTAAAAACAAAGCTAAAGATACACTACACTCAAACAACAATTGTAACTTAATATTATCAACAGGAGATAAAGCAACACGATAAAGGACCGCAAGTTAGAGTCGATATTGCATATCAGATAACATATGATCAATCACCCTACACAAAGTCTACAACTTTAGGCAACAAAACTACAGAATTGATAAATTCCAGAAACCCCATTTGCAGAAACCGATCATAGAGAGCCATAAGACTACCAAAAACCCAATTACAATCACCCCACAAAAAACCATCACCTTGAAACTACCCAACTGAGAAAACTTACAGATCATGCAATAATAACCAAAACCCATTTACCATAACAGAAAATAAAACATAAATACTCACTCAAAATCAACAGAAGCACCTCCACAAAAACCATACTCAGACTCAGCTTCAGCTTGAGAGACACCCCTTCATTCATTCCTCCACTAAAATTAAACCCAAAAACAACAGCAAGAAGCCCAAAACAGACTGAAACGAGGTGAAGAGGAACGCTTAGTGGTAAGAAGTTTGTGACTTGGAATTCAGAGAAAGGGCTAGTATATGTGTGAAGAGAGAAGAAGCCATGAAAGCAAAGCTTGTTAATGTTATAAGTGTGTGGGGACAAGTGCAGTTTCAGCATAGCTGTACACTGAAGACTTAAAAGGAGAGTATTTACTATTTATTCATTAGAGGGCCCTACATAACATAATGACATGGAAACTGAGTTTTAATAGCACAACAGTGCCATTAATTGCCCCTTTCTTTCTATTTCTCCACTCCACTGGAATCTTGTACACTTGGCAGGATTAATAAAGAAGATTTATTATATTCTATTTATATCTGATGAGTAAAGAAGTGTGACTTAAGAAACATATTTTTTTATTGGAATTGTGATTGAGTGTTTTTTAAGAATATCTTTGACTTGAAAAAAAATATTGTTTTTAGTGATTTTTTAATGTTTTGGATATGTTAATATTAAAAGTAAAAAAAATTAAAATAATTATTTTAATATATTTTTAAATGAAATATACTTTTAAAAACATAACATCATGAAACATAATATTATATACATTTTTAAAATTACTTGAATTGCCAATGATTGTATTCTAATATAAAAGAGGTTTATATAAAAATGAAAAAATTAAATTTGAAAAAAAATATAAAAATAAAAATATTTTTAAAATAGTTTTAAAGTGAATCTCTTTCTTTTCAAAAGATAAAGCTATGTTCATATGTTCCCATTGTCTTCTTATTGTATGTTTTCGAGATGGTATCTTCTAATATATTTAGTTAATGTTTTAAGATAGGAAGAACATATAAAAAAATAAAAAAAGTGTTTGGTTAAAGAAATAAAAATATAAAATATAAAAAAATTATCTTAAAAAAATTAAAATGAATTTATATAATTTCAAAATAAAAATTGCAAAAAAAATATGTTATCTTTTTTTTTTTCTATTGTATTTATCTTTTTTGTGTTTGAGACAATAATCAAATATTGTCTTAAAAAATAAGTTTTGTCTTTATTAATATAAAAGTTTATTCAAACAAATTTTCAATTGTTCAGAAATAAATCTATATTTTTTTAAAAAAAAATTAATAATAAATTATAGTGTTTGTTTTGTATCATAGTTTAAGTGTTTTTTTTATCACCAAACATAATTTAAGAAAATATATATTTGCAGCTGCATTCTAAACACATTAATGAACTCCGCAAGATTTTTCAAAATCGCATGTTGTCATTCATCTTAAAACTAAAAGTACCTACAACTCAATATTTATAAATAAATAAATATAATTACCAAAGGCTAAAAATATAGAAAAACTATTATATATATGATTTGCCAGGGATTACAGCAATAAAATTATAATCTTGCCCATAACAAAAAAAAAAATCAAATAAACTAAACGTGGGGGGTTTGAGGGGTAAAAAGATCATTTTATAAAATTTAATTGGTCATTTTTTATTTGTTTAGGGTAGTGCTATCTTTTTAAAATTTTATTATAATTAAATTATTGTATTTCCTTTAAAAATTTAAAACACAATTGACATGATCTAGGAGTTTTATAAGAATTTCACTTTACTATAAACAATGTTATAAACAATCTCATGACTCAATTTTACTTACCATTCAAAAATTTTAATCATGACTTAAAGATTATATTAGTAAACATGACTCAATTTCCCTTATTCTCATTTAGTTTTAGTGGTATTTATGTCTTTATAAAAATAATAAAAGAAAAAAGTTGTAAATAAGTTGTAGATGTAGTAGTTTCACTAACTTTGGGCGATGCATGTCATAGGTGGTCACAATTGTATTTTTGTAGCATCAATTTACTTGTTTAGGCCTTTTTTATTCTCTGTAAGTGATGAATATATAGTGATTCTATTTAGTTTGATATTATTATTATTTTTCTCTTATCTATTTTAATTTTACATGCTATCTGTTTTGAAAAAATTATATTAACTTTGTAATTTTTATTATTATTTTATTTTTTTTATCTGGTTTAAATTATATATTTTTTTTTTTATTATTATGCTTTAACAAGTTTTTTAAATTGATTTTTTTAATTTTTTTAAATATTAAATTAGTTAGAAATCAGTAAATCAGTCTAAAATTTTATGGATTATAATTTTAAAATATTAATTTAAATTTAAAAAATTTACTATATTTTTTTTTCATGGTATAAAATTTTGGGTCTAAGTTTATTTTTCATGTTTTTAGTTTTCAATATCTAATTCATTGTAATTAGACTTCCTAACTTGTTTCCCTAAGGGTAAGGATCTCATTGTTTTATCACAATTTTATATTATAAATTATAAATTTAATAAATTAAATGTAATTAGTATAAATCAATTGAATATATCATTATTTTAATATATATATTTTTAAAATTAATCTAACATGTCAAGTATTTTAAAAGTATTTTGGTTATCATTGATTGAATTTTTTACTTCCTCCTATCTTTATTGTATGTAGCACAGATAAAAATAAAAAATAAAACCTAGCAATTGAACTATTTGTGATGCTATGTGATATTTGAGAAGTGGTGATCAAGGGAATCCAGCCTCTGAAAGTGCGCATACGGCATACATCGTTGAATTTCCTGTCATTAATATTCCGATCATAAAAAACATGAAAAGAATGGTAAAGAGAGGGACTCGCCTAGTAGGCATCCGATGATGTGAAATTCGTGAAGCTTTAATCAAGGACATTAGAACCTCGAGAGAGTTTTAATCATGTCCAAGAACCCTAGGATAAAAGTGGTGACATATGGGTGGCTGGCCAGGGCAGTGTGGTGGGGTTTAATGGCTGTGGTGCTCCTTTCATGGGCATTTATGACGAGGCCACCACCTCCTTTCTCGTACACTTTTATCATTTGTGGGTGTTTCCTTTGACAATCGCGTTGGGATTTTGTTTGTAATTGCAGCTTCTGGGCTGGGAAAAGTCCAGTGAGGTTACTAGGCCTAGTGTTTTATGGTGAAATCCAGGGCTTTGCTCTTTAATGGGCTGGATCTCTTTAAACATTATTTTTTCTTAATTCAAGTTTTTTTTATCTATTAGATTGGTAATTAATGATTGGTAATTTATTTTTATTTTTTTATTTTATTTATTTTATTTATTAGATTTGGTTTGTATTCTTTTGATTTTTATTTATTTACTTGAAATAATATATGAAATTATAATTTTTTTTATTTCATCATCTTTTAATTTTTCTATTCCTCAAATTTGATTCATATTTTTTGAATTGATATTTTTTTTAAATAATTTATAAAATTATTTTTTTTATTTTCATCATCTTTTAATATTTTCATCTATCAGTTTTTGTCCTTATTCTTTTAATAAACTTGAAAAAACTATAACAATGATAAGTTATTTTCTAACATATTTTTCATGATACAGCCACATTGAAAAGTAACTCTTTTTTCATGACATTGTTCAAAATTGAAAAATAATTTATATTTTAAAAAATTTACTTTTCATAAAAACCATTTTCTAGAAACAAATATACAGCAAATTTTAAATTTGATTCTCTCTTCTTCTTTTTTACCATATATCTTGTCAGGATTTTAAACAGTTGGGAGGGCATTGCTATTATTTTTAAAGCTTTTTGGTTGCACTTAATTAATGTTTCAAGATAAAATTAATAAATATAAAAAAGATAAAAACATACTTAATCAAAGAGAAATGTAAAATAAATATATTTTTGAGGTATTTTTTACTAGAATTTTTATCATTTGAAAATAAAATGGGTAATTCATTTTAAAGCACGTATAACTGATAAAGTCATTGTTAAAGTTTTCAACCATTTTTCATCAGAAAAAGACTGGATCACGTACGCCAACCAATTTTATTATATCTTATTAATTTAGTTAAACTATAACAACTATATATTAAGAAAAAAAAAGCGAAAAAACAATCCATAAAAAAATATTAATTGAACAATAAAGAATATCTGTGCATTCATGAAACATAACAATACACATACAATATTTGTATATCTCTAGGGTTTTGGAGCTACTCTTACACAAACCTAGAGCTGGCTAGGTAAAGGAACTTGAGTTCTGGCGACTACATTTACAACATCAACAAATTAAATTAGCTGATCTAATTCAGCTCAGGAATACTTTGGAGGGAAGGCTTCCAGTCGCCATGAGGATGCTCCATTTCAAATTCATGATCACTTCTAGAGTACTCTAATATCGACCTAGCCAGCAGGACTTCTTCCATGGATGACCCCTGCATGTTAACCCTTGCCATTATTATCTCTTCTAGTTCCCTCTTTGTAATCTTGATCTTCACCTGTCTGGTAGAGCCTGAAGACAAACGACTCGTGTCAAGCGGCCTCCTTCTTCCAATGCTAGCGCCATGTTCCTCGTGGTCATCAGCTTCATCAAACTTTGTGACTTGATGCTTATCATGTATCATCGACCCCCAGTCATCACCGGCCCACACCGATGACGATGCACTTCTACAACAATTTCCCATGGCGTTTGTTCTACTACGCAAAGACAATTCTGAGCGAATGAGAGGAGAGCTTTTACACAGAGAAAGCGGGTTGTGCTATTTATTGATGGGAGAAGGGAAATATAGCTAGCCAGCCTTATTTCCAAGAAGTTGCAAGCGAGCACCATGGATCGAGGCATGAGAAGATATGGTCATGTATAGGTGTCGCTCGAAGAGGCTGTTTGTTGACCCATAAAAAGCCGTGTAAACTTGGTGTCAATGATGAAATCGGCACATCGGCTTCTACAGCTTAAGCTAGCCATGTTGGAAAATCATTGGGTAGGCACAGACCAGCTTGGCTATAACAGTATACATGACTTCATCGTTGATATTTTATTTTGTCTGAATTTGTCATCCTTGTAAATATTCATTCTGCTCAACTCATCCAAATCGTTCAAGTGACTATGAATTTATGAATAAAATAAGCTTAATGATTTAGTTGAAGGGATTCTATATGGCATCTTTGGGTTGGACGAGTGAGTCTGAACTTGTTTATGCATATGGAATCTTGGACCCAACAACAATTCCTTCTTCTTGGACTAGCTCTTAACCCACACTATGTCCAGAATTTGTCTTTAATCTATAATCTAAAATAATATAAAAGTATTAATACTATGAATGTATTTTCAAATATCATGATACTTCTTTATTGGAAAAGAAATTGTTTATATCTAATTGGATTAGAAGAAGGAACAATGCACAACGTGTTATTCTTTTTTTCCCATTTGCTATAATCCGGTCACCTTGTGATTAGCATGACCATATTTACTAATAAGAAAACGGTTCATGCACATATTATAGAACAGATGAATTGATACGCAAGCAAGGAAGCAAGCTGGTCAATATATATGTACACATGTGTTTTGTGTTAATTAAATATTCTGATTATGGAATAAAAACAATCTAAAAGTGGAATAAACAAGGAGAAGAGAGCGAGCCTGCCCGCAACCCAAGCTTGAAAATGAGAAATGTTCAGAGATTGACCCTTACTTTTGGTGACTTGATCTTCAGCGGTCATCCTTAACCATGTCTGACTTTTGGTGACTTGATCTTCATTAGTCATCCTTAACCATGTCTGCCACGAATGTGTAACAGATAATTAGGGGGTCATCTGGATTTAAAATCTTTTATTGTCTGCTTTAAATATTAACATCTTGTCGAGTCAAATATCCCAACTACAACTATCTAGCTATTTAAGGCCGTGTGTACTTGTCATTAGGGTTGCGGTTAAAAAGAATTAAAAATATTTTTTGTTGTGATTAAAAACACAGTATATATATTTAGTTAAAATTATTTGGAGATGAAATTTTACATGTGAAATAAATAAAAAATTGGATTCTATGAATAAAAAACAAGTTATTAATTTTAGCTTCTATAAAACTAAAGCTCGAAATAGAATACAATGCAAAGATCAAAAACTATTTTATCCTAATATTAAAAACCATTTTTTTTATTAAGGTATTATTTGAGAGTGAGTTTTAATCTATTTTTTATTATTTTTGTTTTTTTGCTTTAAATTAGTTGTTTTTAGTGTTTTTTTGATCGTTTTAATATTTTAATGTCAAAAATAAATTTTTAAAAATTAAAAAA